ATGCGGTAGACGAATCAGTATCATGAATCTATATCAGTGGCTATTGATAAATAATAATAAGAAATTATGTATAAATTAATCATAAAATGGGTTCCTCAAAGCTCAATCTCAGCAAATTTGGGGCCTGTAGCTCGCTTTCCAAAGCATAATGATTAAGTCTTGAATGCCATCTGGTGGTCATTTAGGGTTCATGCACTTTTTAAAAAACTGCTGATTTTCCAGTGATGCTATGACTTTTCAAATCTTCCCATTGGTAATTAACAAGTATTTTTCAGTATCTTAAATGGTCCTTTCAATATAATATATTTGTAATAATAAAAATAATAATAATGTTGCTCTAAAATACAGTCACATTGTTAACTTGAACTTCTATTTATGTTATTGAACTGTGATACAGAAAACCATAAACGGCAGTAAGTACTGAAATTAACATTTTCTGGTATGAGAACAATATCAAAAATGTTTCCTCATGTTCCAATTATTCTAAAACCAATGCAGGTTGATGCGGTAGACGAATCAGTATCATGAATCTACATATATCTATATGAATCAGTGGCTATTGATAAATAATAAGAAGAAATTATGTATAAATTAATCATAAAATGGGTTCCTCAAAGCTCAATCTCAGCAAATTTGGGGCCTGTAGCTCGCTTTCCAAAGCATAATGATTAAGTCTTGAATGCCATCTGGTGGTCATTTAGGGTTCATGCACTTTTTAAAAAACTGCTGATTTTCCAGTGATGCTATGACTTTTCAAATCTTCCCATTGGTAATTAACAAGTATTTTTCAGTATCTTAAATGGTCCTTTCAATATAATATATTTGTAATAATAAAAATAATAATAATGTTGCTCTAAAATACAGTCACATTGTTAACTTGAACTTCTATTTATGTTATTGAACTGTGATACAGAAAACCATAAACGGCAGTAAGTACTGAAATTAACATTTTCTGGTATGAGAACAATATCAAAAATGTTTCCTCATGTTCCAATTATTCTAATATTATTTTTGTTATTTCAGTTTATTTGAATTTGTAATCCCCCCCATCCCAGTTGAAGTAAACCACCTAAGCTAATTAAACAACAAATTATTAACAAATTATTACCAAGAGATTTCCTTATTTAAGAGTTGTTGTTGTTGTTGTTGTTTTTGTGTGTGCAACTGCCTGCGAGCCCAGTACCTGCAATATATCAGTGTAATCTGATTCACTGGGAGACAAAAGTTGCTATCTATCTATCTGTCTATCTATTTATCTGTCTATCTGTCTGTCTGTCATAATAATAATAATAATAATAATAATAATACTTTTTTTTCTGGCAGTAACCAAGCTATTGTTACTCTCTTTGTTTTTCATTGCATTTTTTTTTAAATCACAAAAAACAATTTCTCAACACTTTGCCTAGATTTGAAATCTATCTTCCTGAACTCATAAATAATAAAAAGAACAACAAATTTCTTAAGGACTATGATCATATTTGTTTTCTAATTGAGGTTTCATATGTGTACCTGTTTGTATCTATCTATATCTATATATATATCTATATATATATATATATATATATATATATATATATATATATATAAAAAAAATATGTGACC